CTATACTTGTAAGGAAGAATTTACTCTGCAAATCCTCCAGTTTTCACTTTCTAATTTATTAATCACAAAATGTTCTTCTTTTATTTTTTGCATTGTGTGTGAGAGAGAGAGAGAAAGAAAGAGAAGGGGGAAGAGGGAGAAGGAGCTTCTTTGTAAAGATGAGGTTTCCCTAACTTTTCCCCTGTCTGGCCTTAAACAACAATCCTCCCAGTTTTTCCCTCCAGTGTAGATGAGATTATAGCTTTAGCCTGTCACATGTTTTTGTTGTTGTTGGTTTGTTTTAGATTAGTGTTGAGGTTATTATATAAAATTTACTCTGTTGTACTTTTACCTCCATTTCATAAATTTTTAAATGCTGTATTTCCATTTATTCTCTTATTTTTTTCTAATTTCCATTATTTCTTAGATCCTTAGGAATGTTCTATCTGATTCCAGTCTAGGCATTTTGGAGTTATTTTTTAGTTGTTGGTTCCAGTGTAAATGTCATTGTTTCTTTTTGAGTCCTGTACTTACTGCTCACATAGTCCAGGCTGATCCTTCTGCCTCAATCTCTTGTGTGCTGGAATTCCCAATTGCAGGCATGCACTACCAAGCCCAGAAAGGAAAAATGTTGTCTGTGTGTTTTTTAATTCTTTTAAACTGAGACACGTTTTAGATCCTTGACTATATTTAGCTTGGGTAAATATTCTAAGACATTGATTGTACATTTATTCTTGAAGAATGTGCATCCAATACTTTTCTAGTGCAGTACAGTTTAGAAGTCAATTACCCGGCCACAGTTGTTGACACTGTTGTTGAAGTTTCTGATCTATGTCAGTTTCTGGACTATTTGTACTATCAATTGTTGGGTGATGAAACAGCAGGGTGTAATTGTGGGTCTTTCTGTTTCCCCTAGGAATTTTGTCTGGGTTTAAGTATTTTCAAACTCTTAATATGCACATAAACAGTTAGGATTGTCATGTTCTCTTGAAGAACTGATTATCATTACAAATTGTGTTATTCCCTTTTTCAAGCCTGACAATATTTCAGTGTATGTTGGATGTTACACATTTTATCTTATTATTAAGCTTTGTTCTGGCATGTATCTTAGTCACTTGGAAGCAGGTGAGGCTTGCTTTCTAGTTATTTTCAACACTGCCTAAACAGTGTTTAATCTACAACTAAATCTGCATGATTGCTAAGGTGAATTCCTTCTGGATACTCTTTCTTTATGCTCCCAGGTTATCACTTTGGTGGTGCAACAGGCACTGTCTCAGCCCTGGGTAAATTCCTGCAATGGTTTTCCTAGCTCTGTTCTGTGGCTCTTTCCACTGTTTGGGTAGATTCTACTGAGTAGTGCTCATGAGAATACTCAAAGGAATCTCTTTTCTGAAGAGTCCCAGTCTTTCTCTCTGAATCTCAGTTTTCCTTATTCCTCTTTCTGTGTCCAATCTTAGCTGTACCTTTCCAACTCAAGACTACTAGATCAGGTCAGTCTACCTCTCTTCCTTGTCTGCAGCCTAGAATATCTTTTTTATTAAACTAAATGTGTTTCTTAGCAGTGACGTGGGAGAAAATGAGAGAGGGAGTAATACCATTCAAAAGGAAATGTACTCATTACCTTCTTATGTAACTGTAACCCCTCTGTACATCACCATTACAATAAATTTTTTAATATGTTTCTTGCATCTCAAGGCTCACTGCTCATGCTTGTTATCCAGACTAATAAGAAGTATTGTTTCACATAATTTTTCTGTTTTTCTTGTTGCGGTTACTGGGGTTTGAACTCAGATCTTGAGTTCTTCTTTGGCTTTTTTGCTCAAGCCTACCCCTCTACCACTTGAGCTGCATCTCCACTTCTGGCTTTTTGCCCATTAATTGGGCATATGTGTCTCACAATCTTTCCTGCCTGGGCTGGCTTTGAGTCATGATCCTTAGATCTCACCCTCCTGATTTACTGGCATAAGCATCAGAGCCTGGCTTCTAGTGCATTTTAAGAGCCTTCTTGAAAAGCCTTTGGGAAGCCAGCTCACATTAGTCCTGGAAGAGTGCCTGTAGGAACCTCTCCTCCTTCCCCCACCAAGAAAGTGACTAAATGACTGAGTAGCACAGGGTGTTGAGAATGAAGGGAAGGACTCCACACTGATGTTCTGATTCCATTGCTTTACTGTAGGTGACATTTGAGATGTTTAACTTCTAATTTAGGTTGGTTGGAGAGTTTGGTTTTTTATTGTGTGGACAAAAATTCCTATGTTTCAAAGACACAGATGTTTTAAAAAAATTTAAGGTGAAGTTTTCATATATATATATATATATATATATATATATATAAACAATTTTAAATTGCAACAGCAAAAGAAACTAAGTAGAGCTTGACATTTAAATTTTTCCTTACAAATTAACATTCAGACAATTAATACATCTGATTTTTCCTTGTTCCTTTTAGCGTCTGTGATATAAAGATTAATGATAGTTTTTATTTTTAAGTCAACTTTCCTGTCTTATAAAGCAAGGCTTATGACTTTAAGGAAAAGAATTAAAAAATGTTTATACATAATCAGATGTGCAACTGCTTTGAATAAAATTTTCCTTTAAAATTCTAGTCTATTAAAATAAGTCACATTGTTTACTGTTATAAATTAGTCCAAACCAAAAGAAAAAATCCAGGGTTTTAAAAAATTAGAAAGTAGATATGCAATAGTTCTTCATAATAAAGCAACTCAGATTTTGAACCTAATTTGTCATAATTTTATCTTTGTTTTTCTGCCCTCCAAAATCCCTATGACTTTATCTTTTAATTATCTGATGAAACAATTCAGTGGTGAAAGTAGATGCAGCTCTCTAAAGATTATAATAGATTTCTTGCAGAATGAAAAGGCCAGTTTCTCATCTATAGAGGTTATTAGTTGTTGGTTTAGTTATCATTTAAAAATATCTTCCATGGTACACAAGGTAAAAGATTTTCTATATTATCTCTATCTATGTATCCATCTATCTAAAACTAAATATGTGTGTGTGTGTGTGTGTGTGTGTGTGTATGTGTGTGTGTGTGTACATACATACCAGGCTTTGAACTCAGCTTTGTGCTCTTGTAAAATTTCTTGCTTACAGCTGGTACCCTACTACTTGAGGTTTTGCCTCCAGTCCAACATGCTGATAGTTAATTGGAGGTGGAATCTTGAGCACTTTTCTGCCCAGGCTGTCTGTGAACTATAATCCTCTAGATCCCAGTCTCTCGAGTAACTTTTATTATAAGCTTGATCCACTAGCTCACAGCAGTATTTTTATTTGAAAGTTTTTGGTTTCTTGGATCAGGCAGAAGTTTGCATGATTCTGTGTGCATTCCTTCTAATGTGGCTTATTAGGAAGTACCTGGATTCGTACATGAGCCTGCTCTTTCAGGCAACTGTTTCTGTTACAGTTAAGCATCGTTATAGGAAAGCCATCAGCTTATTCCTGTCTCATACAACCTTTCTGATTATTTGCCTTTATGGGGCTTACATGAATCTAGGGCAATTTAATACTTATGGTATTCTCAACTTTCTTTCTGATTCTGTTGTCATTTTACTTAGTTTTGAATGGCCAAAAATGATTCTCTAATTTGTGGTCTGTCTTGTCATTTGGAGATGAAAATATTTAGTCAAGCTTGTGATTGTAGTAACAACCATTAAGAGACAATATTCTCAGTTTTATAATGTTCAGTTCTAATGAATTCTCAGGCTTGGCATTCAGTACTAACATTTTTCGCTGAGACAACAATCTATTCTGTTACATTTTTGTGAACCACAATATTAGATTTGCAGAAAGATTCTGAAATAGTGTAACTTTTTTGAATTGCAATTTTTTTGACTTAGGTTGGAGAAACAATGCACTGTCCCCAGGAAAAAAATGCATCTTATCAATTGGCATTGTGGTGATCATGGGCCATTTTCCCTAATAACAGAGATACTTTAGATTCTAGGAGTGGACCACAGCCCCACAGAGACACCAGATAAAATGTTATTAGATCTAAACAGGCACTGTATGTGGACCCTTCTAAGAATACAAGGACCACTTAAATACCTATGCTTCTACAGTGGGCATTAGCTAGATTAGTCATCCTATTGGAAGTGTTGGTGATACAAATGTATAGCACTCTAGAATTGCTACAGATTCATAACTCTCCAGAAGTGCTCCAGATCCACAGCTCTCCAAAACTGCTTCAGATTCATAATATACCAGAATGAAGTATCACCATCAGTATTCCAGAACAGACCCAGACCCACACTGCTCCAGAATGGATCCAAACGCACAGCATTTCAGAACTGATCCAGTCTGACATAATGACCAAGAGATCTGTGCCATTTTGAAAACCATGGGTACTTTAAAATGATCACTGAATGCCTCTTAGGGAAGTATTCAAAATCTAAACATGTCCATATGTGTATGTAGACACAAAATAAATATTCTTTTTTTCTTATTACTTCATCTTAGTAACTTTTACAAATAATAACCACCACGATTATAACAACAGCTAATATTGAGTCCAAATTCCTTAATGTTAATTAAATAGGATGGAATGAATTTTATTTCCTGTTTTGTTTGTAATACATGCTATTCTTCTGGTTGATTGAAGCAATTCTGCCAATGGCTTTCTAAGTGGTCCCACATGGATAGATTTGAAATAATATGTAATTGCCAACACAGAGGAAGAACGAAAGGAATAATTAATAAATGAAGCTAGAAGGGCTTTAAGGAAGAACGATTTTTAAAAAAAGTTTTGGCTAGGTAGGTCTTCCTTGTACCCATAAACTATTTTAACTTGAATTCTCTCAAGTTGCTATTACAGCGTTTTAAACAAAAAAAAGTTTGTTTTAGAAAATATACATTGCACCTAGGTTTCAATAAAAAGTATATTGTTCTATTGTAAAATGCTCAGTAAGGTTGATTTCACAGACTTGGAGAAATTTATCCTAATGGGAATAATTACTATGAAAGCTAAAAAATAATAGATGTCTTTTTTTTTCTTTCTTTTAAAAAAGCTGGACCTGTGATCTGCAGAATGCTGAGCTATCCCCCAACTCGCCGAGCTTTAATTGTGGGTTGTGGCCTTCAAATGTTCCAACAGCTCTCAGGCATTAACACCATCATGTATGTATTTCTTTCTGGCCTTTTATCGAAAATATTTTAAAAGGATTATTTTACATGGAGAAAACAATAGGAATCTTAGTGATTTGTTATTGTTGAATGATTAGAAGTCTTCTTCGGTGATACACCCCAGGATGTTTAAAATCCTATTGTTTGTAACTGAGGAAGAGTAATTTATTGCATTGGTTAGATTGTTGGTTTTGTTTGAAATAATTTGTCTTATTTCATCCAGTACTTCTGTATATTATGAACTAATATGTCGTTTTTATAAACCATCTCTCAGTAGTGGTTAGAAGGAAGTCATTGGGCATTGTCAGAAATTATGGCAATCTGGTAGAAGGGATGGAGAAGACAAAAATAGTCTGGTACTTCCTAGTTTCCAGAGTAACCATGAAAGTTTTGTCTGTAATGAGGGTAGAGTATAATTGTGCTTTGTTCACTTAAAGTAAGCCTATTTTGTACTAGACACACAATAACTAGGATAGAATGTAGACCTGGTCTCTGGTCTTAACATCTATAGGTCCTGAGAGGAAACACATTATATAAACTCAGTTAAATATAGAATTTAAAATTGTGAGATCAGTCTACAGGACCTCTGTATCCCTACAGAGTAGACTTAAGATCCTAGATAAAAGAAGGCAGAGTAGAGGTTATTAGATTTTGTTTTCTTTCCTTTTTTTTCCTCTCCTCAAGTTATTGTTTTTTCCTCCTCTGCCTCTGTAACCAGAAGAGAGTTGCCGGATTTCATTGTTACTTTATTTCATTTTATTTTCTTCACTGATACTTTAATTTAAAATTTTACTTTATTATCTTTAGTTATACAAATGGGTTTCTATTCAACATAACTATGAGTACAGTACATCTAGATCAGTGTCATCCCTTCCATAGTTCTCCCTGGATGAAAAGCAAAGCCTTCTTGTTGTTTAAAATTACTCATAAGAACAATAGAAAGTATATAAAGTTAAAATTTTTCTGGCAAGCCATTTGTATTTGGGATTTCTGACGTTTTCCTTCCAAAATAACTCTATATCGTTAAGTAGTGATCATTTGAGAATAATAATTGGTGGAAATATTTATTACAAAATAAAGATTAGAATCCAATGTCCCATTAGATTATGTCAAGATTTATTAAGGCTTTAACAAGAATGTCAGACCATAATTTCCTAGACTGTATTTTTTAATATTTTTCCCTACTCCTGCTTCTGTTACTACTTTTTTCCTTGCCTTTCTGAGTTATATGACGTCCCAACTTCTGGCATAATGCCAGGCATGTTGTTTTGTTTTCTTAGTGCGACATATCAGGTTCTGTTCTGAGATGTCACACCCTCCCTCACTGTAGTAACAATATAGATATATAGCAGAGCCAGTACTGACTTTTCAAATGATTCCAGGCAGTCATAACCTAATATCAATATTCCAGCTGATCAGCCTGATATGTGTTCTATTTCTGTAAGTACTTAGACATAATTGTTCTACCCTTTTTATTTGAGTATAGACAGTTGAAGCATTTCCAAGTTAAACTACTTAAAACTTACAAGCTTTTAAACATGTAAGTATAGAAAGGGGCTAAGGATGTGGTCAAATTGTAGAGCTTCTGTCTAGTAAGCTTGAAGCCCCAAGTTCAAGTACTGTCCCTACAACAGATAGGAATGAAGAATTTCATAATCTTCTTAAATAGGGATCACAAACAGAGCTAACTCTTGTTGCTATTATGTTCCAAGTTGAAATTATCATCATAGTCAATTTGTGATATCCAGTATAAATTATGATAAGAGGTTTTTCAGTATTTAATGATACTCACTAAATACTAGTAGTTAACAAATTTCTCTATATCTAGAAACTTTTCACAGAGATCAAGGGATTCAAGAATCCTAATATTCCTTAAGATTTGTGGTAGCCAGTAATAAGCTTTGTTCCTCCTAAGCTTCATGTGTTGTTTGTAATATTGTGATAGAGTGTTTGCTTGCTACTGAGTTTTAATGCTGTAAAATAGAAATAATAAAATAAATTATGGTTGAGCATACACTGTGTATGAGATGCAAATATCAGGTCAGTCACCTGAATATGTTATTTGATGTGATGTTAGTGTCCAGAAGTTAGGGAGTTAGAAATGCAAATAGTATGATTACTGGGCCAAAAAAAAAAACCTGTGGGTGATTCAGAGTACATAATTTCAAACAGAATATAAAACCTCAATGTCATCATGAGAGATCATACTACTGCTTATGAAAAGACAGGAAATGACTCGTATGGGACTTTCATATGGTAGATATCTTGTCCCTCTTGCTCTAGTCTCCATGTGTGCTTTTTGCTCATTTATGCTTAGGATTTAGTATACACTATCAGAAATTTTATTTCTAGTTTAAACGAATCTCTGTATTGGACCTTAAATTTTATAGGTTGTGATTGGAAATGTTACTGTTTTTCTTAATTTTAAGAGTATAGTTTTGTTAATTTATGATTCTATTTTTATGCTTATTTCATCATTATAACACTATAAAATGTTCTAGCTTTTTCCTTTTTAATCTGAAATCAAGTAGATAGTGCTCTTTATAAGTTGAAATATACAAATTTCACTCTAAAGTCTTTGTACTGAAATAATTTTAAAATAATTTTATTACTATTACATCTTATTATTTAAAATGTTAATATTAAAATAATATTTAAATTCTATTTCTCACCAAGAAAAGTTCATAAAACGATCATATGGAAAATATTAGATAATTCACCCTCATAGTTATATATATATATCCTAATAACCTTTTAATATCCTATCAAAATCAAGGAATTATATACCTTTTTGAAATAAGTTTCCTGTTTCATCACTTTGTGTTTTCCTGCATGTATCTGTATGTTAGTTTAAATATCTCCTGAGTAACTTAATTCTTGATATGTCAACCTAGACTTTTCTCATCTGCATTTTGAACAGAGAATTTCTAAGTTCTAACAAAAATTACATACTGTGCCAGGAATAGTGGTTTATACCTATAATCTCAGCTACTTGGGAGGTAGAGGCAGGTAGAGCCTTGCATAAGCAGAAAGGTGGTGGCAAAATGCTATCTCAAAAAATAAAATCCAAAAGGTTTAAGGGTTGTAACTCAAGTGATCAGTTAGAACAGTTGTTTAGTATACACAAGGCCATGGGCTTAGTCCTTTGCACTGAATAAAACATATACAGAAGCTACACTTAACTTTGAGGAGAACCAGTTTTCTAATATCCCTGTGATTGCTTAGTAACTTCAAGTATGCGGCTGAATAGATTAATAGATTATTCTCCTCTGGTCACAGAGGAGTAAATCAGATGGAATACCAGCTCTCCAACTATAAAAGATCTGGTATGGCTGCACTAATAACTGTCACATGTGTCAGAGTAAAGGGAGGAATGCTGAGATGATGTTTAATGTAATGAAAACTCCCAAGGAACTTTTACTGTGGCCTATTCTGAAATCTAGTTATAGTAGTAGTAATTTTCTATGTAAGAAAATTTATCTATGATTGCAGTAAATGGAGGTTTCCTACATTATCCTAACCATGACCAATATCTATAAGTTCATGTGTGTGAGAGAGGGAAATAAGACAAGATGGAAAAGCGGTGATATCTCCAGTCCTATGTGGATTTATTAGCATCTTGGTATCTTGGTTTGTACACATGTGTAATACTGGGGTTTGAACTCAGAATATTACACTTTCTATGCAGGCATTATAAAGGCATTACCTATGCCTTTAACTCTTTTTTGCTGTAGTTATTTATTCAGGTAGAGTCTTACATTTTTGCCTCAGCCAACTTCAGATCAAGATTCTCCTACCCATGTCTCTCCTACCCTGGGGTCACAGTTGTATACCACTAGACACATCCCTAGTGTCTTGCTTCCTTTAAAATACACACACACACACACACACACACATACTCACACACACGCACATGTTCTAATAAATATATAATGAATCCATCTTGGAAAGGTGGAAAATAGGGTTGTTTTGCCTGGAAATATTAAGTAGTTATGACTAAAGGAGAATACACTTAGGAATAGAACCCAAAGGCATAATAACATCTCTGAACATTTAAAATACTATTTATCAAAATGAATTCTAGGAAGAGGAAACATGGTTTTTATTGGTGTTGTTGGTGGTGTTTGTTTTTGTTTTGTTCTTTTATCTGTCTTTTAGGGAGCAGTAAAGGAAGGCACAAAAAAATGGAGGGAGGAAGGGTGAACAAATGTAGTGATGGTATTCAGCAGATACTATGGAAAATGAACTATGAAGTTGTAGGTAGGGAGAGAAGGGGAAAACTGGGGGAAAATGAAGGAAGGGGTAAGTAACATTGTCTAAAAAGAAATGTACTTATTACCTGACTTAGGAAATGATTACTACTCTGTACAACACCTTAATAATAAAATTACATTAAAAAGACAAAGTAGTTAAATGAATTACTCTAAGGCCACACAACAAAAAAACAGTAAAGAGAGGGTGATCCAGAATTTTATGCTTTGAATCTGCTTCAAAGAAGCCTGTGAAAGAATACTCTGGCTCTAGGCACTCAGTCTTCTACTTTGTTTTTCTTCACCTGTGCTGACATCCTGATATAGTTAACAACAGAGTTTTCATGAACCAGGCCTAGAATGCCAACCAGCTACTGGCTGCTGTTCTCCCAGAAATGTAACACATACCTAGGTAGACAAAGTCCAACCTAGGCAGCTAGTTATAGCTGGGCTCAGTCTTCTTCTTTTAAGTCACTCTTCTTTCAGAGTAATGATGCCAGCTTCATCTCTTCTTACCACTTCCTCCCTCCCCTCCCCCACATCTTTAAAAAAAGAAACTAAGTCAAAGTAAGAATGGAGAACAGACAGTGGCTGTGATAGTATCCATGCAGATCATTGTTTCCACAGCTGCCCCACTTGCATACAGGAAACTTCTTTCTTTGAATCTACAAGAGAGAGCAAAGGCATCTAGAAAATACCTCTTATAAATAGCGATATTATAGCAATATTTATTGAGCATTCAAT